AATAGGGATAAAGTTGAAATAAAAGTTAATAAAATTAATAAATTAAATATGAATAAAGTTAAAATAAGAGTTAATAAAATTAATAAAGTTGACTTAAATTTTAAACAAGAGTTAATAATTAATGTTTCTTTTTATCTATGTGAAACATATTGAAAATAACTTATAATTAGGACAGAAGTAGTAAAATATTTGTTGGTAAATAATTAATGTTTCTTTTTATCCTTAAATCTGACATTCTCCCTTTTTTTGATGATGACAAAATGGAAGGTGCATAATGAACTCAAAGTGCAAAATAAAATCAGCCGACAGAATATGCTCACAGAAATGAAATCACCAGAAACTGATATTTGTATATATCAACTGTTCAAGCAAGTACCAAATCACTCAACAGGTTTTGATGATGACAAAGTAAATAGTTAAACTTCTCTGCATATCTTTACTAAGTTTCTTTGAATTTAGTTACTATTAATGTTTTATCAATAACCTGTTAGATAAATGCTTTTTTTGATAACGTTATGGATAAATGCATTTATCGATTACGTATTGGATAAATGGCCAAACTTCTTTGAATAGCGCTATTATTAAGTATTTATTGATCACTTGATTGATAAACAAGGTTTTTGATAAGCCATCAGATAAATGGTAAGTTTCTCTGCATAACTGTTAAATTTTTATTCGATCATCTGTTGGATCATTAATTATTGGATCATCTGTTAGATCATTGGTTTGATTAATCAAATGTTTGATAACTGACTGAATATTGTGAGTACAAATATAGTTAAGCTTTATCGATCACGTATTAGATAATCACTGTGATAGATAACCTGTTAGATAAATAGGTTGTTCGATCACCTATTCGATATTTGGTAAAACTGTTTAACATAAGTACTTTTAGAAAATTATTGATCACTTGATCGATAATTCAAATGATCGATAAGCTATCAAGTAAAGAGGATAATCTTCCTCACTATTAACAAAGGGTTAATTGATCACCTTATCGATTAAAGGGTCTTTGATCACATGACAGATAACTGGTAAGTCCCTTCAAGTCACATATTGTTTGGAATGCTTTATAGTTTATCAATCACCTCTTCTATCAAACACTTATTGATAACTTATCCCAACATTGCTTTACAAAACCTCTTTGATTGATCAATTAGTTATTCAAACATATCCCTCTCTGTTTTACTCAGTTCAAATGTCCCTTGGTCAATAATCGATCACTTGATCGATAGTTAAATTATTGATCACTTAATCAATTAATATCATGTTTTCTGTCTCTATCAGTCTAAGTCCTTTAGAACAACTTTTGCAATAACTTGTTTGATCAACATTTTATCGATAACTTTTCATATTAATGAGTTCAAAGTATTTTTACACAGTTACTTATTTTATCCATAATTTGTTTGATTAAGTGTTTATCGAATATCTGTCGATAAATTACAAACACTTTTCTTTAGACTGTTCTTCACGATGACCTTCAAAACATATATTTTCATATTATCTTTAAGCTTTTCTTAGCCTTCTTTGGTTATCTTATATTCTTATAAGAACTGAGAAAGCATGTGTCTCAAGTTCACAAGATTTTTAACTGGTTATCTGTAAGGAATTGAAAGACGACGCGCAGCGGAAACAACTCGAAGTTTTAAAACTTTCAATCCCTTTCCGGATCTACCGTTCGCGTTTAAGTCAGGTAGTAAGAAGCATTACCTTTAGGCGTTCGATTCCCTGGTGACTTGATGATTCGGCCGTTCAGGATGCTTCTGCTCGCCTCCTGTGTCGTTCGAAGTCGACAACTCCGGTCGGCTTCCTCTACCGGTATCCACACGAGTAGCCTTCAACCTCGAACGGCGTGCCAGCGCCTGTGTCCGTCTAGGGTTTTGGGAATCCGTCCTCTCTCCTCTCTTTGCCGTCTCTTAGGTGTTAGTTCTCTCTTAGTTAAACCCTAGCTCCTCATATCAAATATATAGGATGCTATATAGGTTTAATTAATAATATTTAATTTCGAAATTAACTCTAAATTAATTCTGAAATTAACACAATATCAAATATTGCCTAATCAGATAAGAGAACAATTAAATAAATATAGTTTAAATTAAATCCGTCTCACAGATTTAATTCACTTATTTATTTAAAGAGATGACGGAATTTATATATTTAATTTATCCTTATAAATTAATATCTCTTATATATATATATATGAATTTATATATATATATATATATATATACACGTCCACCCTATTTATTCATTGAATCTGGACATATCTTAGATTCAATGAATCTGGACATCATAACTCGTGTCGGGCTATTTTGTGTGCGACCCTGTAGGCCCATATGAAGTTGGCAGTGGGCCATTAACTATAATGACCCACAAGTCGTAAGCGGTCTCTAGCAAGACATCACGACTACCCAAATCATATGAGGATCATTGAACGATGCAACCTTTCATACAACCATATCACGTCCCTTTTGTCTCACGACATTTTGGTCATGGATGAGGCATGGAGAACGTCATCCTCCTATCCATGACCGTTACTTTCTCGATCCCTGAGTAGTCCGAGTATAGAAACGGAACTACCTTTCCATTATAGTATGGCCATACATTTCTCAGACTCACTCATCGAGGGGCCCAGTAATGTCTCTCTACGAATGTGAGGGACAAATTCCATCTTGACCATTCACATTCCTCCGCATGAAAAACCACTAAACCTGAACACAGTCTTTATGATCACTCGGTCAAAAGTGACTTTTGACTAGGTCAAAGCTAAGCGTTTCTCATGTAGGAATCCATGATGATCTCAGGTCAAAGGGCATAGTGACGTGGTTTGTATATGAGAGAAGCTTATGACTTAACCCATGCAGCTCTCTCATAGCGGGTCGGTCCAACACCTTGTACTCTTACATGTGCCTATGACTTTAATTTATATCTCTATATATCTTTAAAGTCATACTGGTCTTATTTCATCTTTGCTCCCACATAGATGATCGACCAGGGACATTTAGGATAAACCATGAGTTATCCAAGGATAGTTACCACAGAAAACATGCAAATAATATGATAACGTAATTGATAAATTCATAAATTAACAATGTTCAAAACATAATGATTGGCCCCTAGGGCACAATTTCCAACATTATCATGTATATCTTACTATTGACTATATTTCATCATTTATCAATCACTTGTTCCATAAATAGTTAATCCATAATGACTTCGATAAATATTCTCTTCTTCTAAGTTTGATTCCCTCGATATTAATTGATAACCTTATTGATCAAGGGATTATTGATAAAAACTTCGATCAAGTTGATTTGTTTTACCTCCTGAATATATGATCTTTGATCTTATGATTTTCATATCCTGTATCAATTCCAAGGATCAACATTTCTTGTGTTATTCTTTCATAATCACTTGAGAAGAAAAACTTACATTTTTGCCAAGACACTTCTACAGGATACAAAGCACAACAGTTATATTATAGGCTCAATCTACTGTGTTAAAAGCATTTATTATGAACAACCTTTGTAACTGCCGAACAAATGCAATTGATATTTCAATGGCTATAAGCTCTTATGTCTAAGAGAACACTGAAAGTCTCTAACTATAAATGGGGCAAAAAGCATTGAAGGAAGTATTGAATGAACCAAGCTACCATCTGTGAAAATTAATCCTCACATTTATTACTCTGTTTTTATGTTCTGAGCTTCAGTTTTTACTATATATATTCTGCAAGAGAGTTTGTAACTCTTTTTACTTAAATCTGTGAGTGACTCATGAGTGTGGGACTCTTGAGGGGATTGTAACCTTATAGGTAGTAAAGGGGAGTGATTACGAGTGACTCAACTGCTATACTGAGACACTAAGAGTCTGTTGAATCTTAGAGTTTAGTGAAAAACTCAGAGGTGCTCTAAGGATTGGATGTAGGTCAAGTGGTTGAGACCGAACCAGTATAATCTCCTATGTCATTCTTCATCTATTCATACTTGGTGAAATCTTTCCAAACCCATCTCTATTGCTTTATTTGATTATTTATTTTTTTAAGTCAATTTTTTATATATTACCTAATTCACTCCCCTCTTGGGTAAAACTGCCGCTAACATTTGGTATCAAAATAGGTCTCTTTGTTAAAGACTTAACCGTCTGAAGATGAGATCCAATGGCAGGATTTGGTGATAGCGTGCCACTCGAAAGATGCTCAACGTCAAAACCACTAGGTTTCAACGAAGAAAATTTCACCTTCTGGAAGATGAAAATGAAGATTTTTATTAAAGCTATTAAATATGGCCTACGGGACATGATAGAGCATGTGAACTATATTCCAATGAAGACGGTAAACAATCAACAAATTTCTAAAAGTCTGAGAGAGTTTGATGATGAAGATAAAAGGCTCATTCTGCTGAATGATAAAGTAATCAACATGTTGATTTGTGCCTTGAGTCAAAAAGAATATTTTTGGGTTTCAAGCCTGGAGACTGCGAAGAAAATGTGGGAGGCACTGAAGATTGCACGCAAAGAGACAATCGAAGTGAAATAGAGCATAATCAACACTCTCACTACAGAATTCGAATGATTTAGAATGAAAGATGGAGAGAGCATTCAAGATATGGAAGTGAGATTCTTATACCTCATCAATCACCTCATTGCGCTCAGCAAAAAATATAGTCAAGAGGATCAAGTAAGGAAAATATTGAGCGAACTCACCAAAGAGTGGGAATCGAAGGTGACAGCCATTAAGTAAAACAAAAGGAGAATGAATTGGCTTGGTTGCTGCACTATTTGGAAGCCTGGCAGAATATGAAAGCAAGCAGAAGTATAAAAAGGAGATGATCGAGAAGAATTACAAAGGCATTGCTCTCAAGGCTTAAGAGAGCGAAGATGACAATGACGAAAATCTGGAGGATGAGGAAATGGGCCTCATAATCAAGAGGTTCAAGAAATTATACAAGAATAGAGGTGGAAGAAGATTTCCATTACAACGAAAAGCCTTCACATCTTAGATGGAGACCAAAGACCCAATTATATGCTTTGAGTGCAAGAAGCCGGGACACATCAAAGCAGATTATCCTCAACTATCTAAGTTAAAGGACAAAGATAAAAGGAAAGAAAAATTCAAAAAGAAGAAGGCTTTTGTCACTTCAATCTGGGAGGATAGCTCATCTAAAGAGGATGACAATGACAATGAAGAGACGGCCAACATCTGTCTCGTGGCACAAGACGATAAAGATTCAAAGACCGATGAGGTAATCATTTGTGAACCTTCCTATGATGAATTACAATCTGAATACAATGATTTATATTTTGAATTAGTTAGAATAGCTAAGGAGTTGGTAAGCTCCAAAAAAAAAAAGTTCAAATGAACAAGTCAAGTAAAAAGAAATTAGTCCACCAACCTGTATAGAGTGTGAGCAGAGTAAGAAGAAAAATAAGGAGCTTACAAAAACTCTGAAGAAGTTCACAAAGGACAGTGAAATACTCAAAGTGATACTAGGAGCTCAATAGTGCATAATGGACAAATCCAGAGAAGGATATGATCCTGCTCAGGATAAGAAAAAGGGAAAGAAGAAAAACAATGATCGATCGTATCTAACTTTCTTTAGAAATTCAGTTCATTCATCTGATCTACTTCTACATTATTCCTACTGCAATCGTAAGGGTGATACGATATCTTCTTGTTATGACAAGAAGAAAGAAACTTATGGAACATTAAAATGGGTGCCCAAAGGTACTTATGTACCTCAGACAAACCAAACTAACCTAAAAGGACTCAAGAAAGTATGGGTATCTAAAACGTGATCTTACTGATGCAGGTTTGTCTTAAAGCTTCTAGAACAAATAAATGGTACATCGATAGCAGTTGCTCCGAACACATGACGGGTGACAGTGACAAATTCTCAACACTCAAACCCAAAGAAGGTGGGAAAGTGAGCTTTGGTGGAAATCAATTTGGAAAAATAGTAGGAATCAAAGAAGTTGGAAGTGACAAAGGAATGAAAGTTGAAAACGTGTACTACGTTAAAAGTTTATGTCATAACCTGCTCAGTGTCAGCCAGAGTACCAACAAGAACAACTGGGTGATCTTCGATTCAAAACATTGCTTGATCATTAGCAAAGATGACCTATCACTTAAAAAGAAAGAATTGAATGTGAAGCTAAGAGCACTAAGGGATGGTAACTGTTATACTATTCAAATTGACTTTAAACTTTCTAAAAACTGTTTTGTTAGTAAAAATGAAGAAAGTTAGCTTTGGCATAAACGTCTTGCTCATGTAAACATGAATCAGCTTTCAAAATTAACTAAAAAGGATTTGGTTATTGGTTTACCTAAAAATTCAGTTTGAACATAATATTGTCTATGATGCTTGTTAAGAAGGTAAACAAACAAAGTCCTCATTTAAATCAACGAAGACAGTCTCAATTGAGAGACCACTCCAAATAGTTCACATGGATTTGGGTGGTCCATCAAGAGTTAAAAGTTTTGATGAAAACTTATATACTCTTGTGATAGTTGATGACTATTCAAGATTTACCTGGACTCTATTTCTTTCCTCTAAAGACGAGACTTTTAGTGCATTCATTATTTTTGCTAAAAACGTCCAAAATTAGAAAGGTATATCTATTGTGTTAATTAGGACTGATCATGGAGGAGAACCTAAGAACAATGAATTTGCTGATTATTGTGATGAACACAGGATCAACCATAACTTCTCAGCACCAAGAATACCTTAACAAAATGGAGTTGTGGAAAGAAAGAATAGAGTGCTCATGGAGATAGCCAGAGCAATGCTAAATGAAAAAGGAATATCTCTAGTATTCTGAGCAGAAGCCATGAGTATGGCATCTCCAACAGAGCATACATCAAAACGCTACTCGGGAAAACACCATACGAGCTGTACAAAGGAAGGAAACTGAATCTAGCTCATCTAAAGGTCTTTGAAAGCAAATGCTACATCCATAACAACAACAAAGAAAATCTTGGTAAATTCGATCCTAAAGCTGATAAAGGTTTATTTCTAGGTTATTCTAATCATAGTAAAGCCTATAGGGTCTTTAATAAAAGAACGTTTACTATTGAAGAATTAATTCACGTTGTGTTTACTGAAATTAAGTTGATTTCAAAACCTCTAGATTATGACGTTAAGATTGTTTAGGGTTTTGAAAAGTTGAGTCTAAACAAGTCTTCCAACAAAATGCCCTCTATAGAAAATGAAGAAAATAAAGATAATCCAATTGAAACATTTTCTCAAGATAACTTAGATCGACCTCAAGCTAAGAGACATAAGAAAGACCACCTTATAGATCAAGTCATTGATAAAGTCAATGAAGGGGTTAAAATCTCGAGACAAGTATTCAATGAAGCGCGTTTCTCTACAGTTATCTCTAACATTGAACCAATCAATGTTAACGAAGCTCTATCTAATGAATTTTGTATAGCAGCAATACGGGAAGACTTGAAACAATTTGAAAGGAATCAAGTTTGGGACTTGGTATCCCGACCTAATGACCATCCAGTCATAGGCACTAAATGGGTATTCAAGAATAAGCTCAATAAATCTACACAATCATTAGGAACAAAGCCAGATTAGTTGCGAAAGGCTATAATCAAGAAAAAGGTATTAATGACGATGAAACATATGCTCCAGTAGCTAGATTGGAGGCCATACGAGTACTCTTAGCCTTTGCCTATATAAAAGATTTCAAATTATATCAAATGGATGTTAAAAGTACCTTTTTGAATGGCTACATTTTGGAAGAAGTTTTTATTGAAAACCTCCTGGATTTGAAGATCCAGATCTTCCTGATCATGTTTACAAATTAAAAAAGGCTTTATATAGTTTGAAATAGGCACCTAGAGCTTGGTATGAACGTCTTAGCAATTTTTTGATAGAGAAAGGTTTTGAGAGAGGCAAAGTCGATGCAACAATTTTCATAAAAAGAAACAAGAAAGCACTCTTAATTGTCTAAATTTATGTAGATGATATTATATTCGGTGGTACTAATGAAAATCTTTGCCAAGAATTTGCTAAGTTGATGCAGGGAGAGTTCAAAATATCTATGATGGGAGAATTGAATTTCTTCCTTGGATTACATATCAAACAAAAGAAAAATGGCATATTCATATCTCAAACAAAGAATCTCAGAGAACTTTTGAAGAAGTATGGGTTAGAGCAAGCAAAAAGTACAAATACTCTAATGAGCTTGACCATATCCTTGGATGTAGACAAGAAGGGTAAGGACGTGAATTTGACTTAAGTATAGAGGAATGATTGGATCACTACTCTATCTCATAGTAAGCAGACCAGATATTTAGTTCAGTATAGGAATGTGTGCCAGATATCAATCAACTCCTAAGGAACCACATGAAGAAGCCGTCAAGAAAATCCCTAGATATCTTATCAAAAAACCTAATCTAGGAATATGGTATCCAAAGAAAGGAGCAGAGTACCTAATGGGATACTCAGATACTGACCATAGAGGTTGTAAAATAGATAGAAAAAGCACTAGTGGAAAATGTCAATTCCTCGAAGGTTGTCTGGTTTCATGGTCAAGCAAGAAACAAAACACCATGGCTATATCTTTTACAGAATCAGAATATGTTGCCATTACAAGCTGTTGTGCTCAGATACTATAGTTAAAACAGCAATTATTAGATTGGGGAATCAAGTTGAAAGAGATTCCAATTCTATGTGATAACACAAGTACCATCAGCTTATCAAAGAATCTTGTTCATTATGCCCAAACTAAACACATTCATGTTCGATATTACTTTATTTCGGATCATGTTCAAAAGAAAGACGTGAAAGTAGAATTCATTCCTAGTGAATATCAAATCACAGATGTAACATCCTGAGTTTTATCGGGTTTTAATAGCCTCTTTTGGGTTGATTTTGAGGATAGATTAGTGATTTAATCTTGATCTTGGTGTTTGGGTTGGATTTGAGGTTTGTTGGAGGAATAGGTGAACGTACCCCTCTCAGGGTATGTTCGCCGCAACTTCGCCGCGGCGCACCGGGAGTTTCAGAGGGGAGTGTCTTCTCGGGAAGGTTTGGCCGCGGCGAAGTCTAGGGGATGCCGCGGCGAAGTTGTTCAGGTGAGCGAGGCTTCCCTTTCGGGAAGGTTTCGCCGCGGCGAAGGTAGGAGTATGCCGCGGCGAATGTTTTCTGGGCGAGCGAGAGTTTCCTCTCGGGAAGCTTTCGCCGCGGCGAAGATTGGGGTTCACCGCGGCGAAGTCAGGTTTTCAGGCGAGTAATCCTTCTCGGGATTAGTTCGCCGCGGCGAAAGGTCGCGAATCTATATATTCGTGGGAGCAGTTCAGCGTGCGAAAAATAAGAAAATCTGAGGTAGAGAGAGAGGCTCTGCTAGGGTTTCGGTATTTTGGTTTGGAGGGGGCATTTCTAAGGATCCATTACCTCAAGTAAGTGATTTTAACCTCTAATCTTCTTTCTTTATTGGAATTTCTTGGAATTTCTGAGGATTTTTGGTGGAACCCTAGGATTTTCTAAGTTGTGATGGAATTGAGGTTTTTGACCGATTGTTTTGAGTTTAATTGATTGCATTGGGTTAGTTTAAGTATTTAATCGGTGTAGTTTCCTTGGATTTAAAGAATCTTGAATTTTTGGAGCTAGGGTTTATGGAATTGGATGATTTGGGATTGAGGATGACAATGTAGAGATTGATTTTGGGTTTTGTGAATTGGGTTATGTTAAGGAGGGTTAAATTGGATGTTTAATCGGTTTAGAATTGTTGTTGGAGCCTTAATTGCTCAAATGGGATGTTTGGGTGTAGAATTCCATAGTGGGTCCTTGGGGTTGTGAATCTTAATTGATGTTTGGAAAGGAATTAAGGTGTTAATGGATTGGTATGACTTTGGAGTGTTGCCTTGATAGATATACCCTTTGAGTTGGGTAGAGTTTTGATGGGAGATAGGAATTTTGTGTCCCCAAGTGTTGTTTTTGGCCACATTATTAGTTTGAAAGCTAATATATGATGGTTGTGTGTTTGTGTGCTTGTGTAGACCGGTTGTGAGTCTTGGTGGTGCACGGGGCCACATCGTTGGTTTGTTATTCCTTGCTCAGGCGAGAGGTAACCACTTTCCAATCCTTAGTACTTGCTTCTGTGGTACTGTGAGTAGATTTGTGTTTTGTGCTTTAAATAGTAATTATGTTCAAACTGTATGTTGTATATAAAAAGGGAAAATCGTCTTGTGGGGTTTTTAATTGATGATGAATGAAATCTTGAAATTGTGAAGGATATGCCACTGAATGAGGTTAATTGTGAAATGATTATTACTCTTTGATTATGATTTGAGCATGATGCATTAACTGGGAATTGGTGAGAGTTTTGTCTGTTACTACCACGTGGTAAGGCCTCCATTAATGCATGATGGTTGGCTTAGTACGTCCCCCATAGTGAGGGATAGGCCTTTTGGCTCCTTACGTCTCCCAAAGTGAGGGATAGGCCTTTTATGGCTCCTTACGTCCCCCATAGTGAGGGATAGGCTGGCTTCGGCTCCTGAAAATCCCCCAAAGTGAGGGATTTGGTTGTTGGGATTGCATCATTGCACTTGCATAATTTGTTGTGGCTATCTCGTTATTATACTATTTGTGAACTGCCCCACTTGACACCTCACGAGCACCTATTTAGTAGTACCTAGTATTGGAAAGGTTGGTTACTGGGACTTTGTCTCACCCCGTGGTTTACAATGTTTTCAGGTGAAGGTTCCAGGCGTGGGCCATCGGGAAGAGACGCAGAGGCTTGAGCTCGGTTAGCTTTAGGCCTCTAGCATTTGTATATGTATGACTAGTATATATTGCCACATTTAGGACTGCTTTTTAATATATTTGATTACCCGGCCTTGTTGTAAACTGGAGAGAATGTATCTCCTTACTTTGTTTGGCCAGAGGCCATTGCTAGTGTTTGATGAACTCTGGATTATATGGTTGAAAACTATTTAGATGGGCTGATCTTGATGTATGTGTTACCCGGACCGGAGGCTCGGAGGCCCAGTGGATATGAATGGATTATTTTAGTTGCATGCAACGTCTTACGGGTTGACCCGAGCTTGAAAGTCAATTTCTAAAAATATGAAATTTTCCTTCTACTATGGTAGCTCGTTTTAACAGCTCTCCTTTTCTACCATAGTAGAGGTTTTATGATGGGTTAAAATGTCTTGAGGTAGAGGGTTTTTACAACAGACATCTTCACAAAGCCCCTAAATCAACAGAAGTTCAATTACTTTATAAGAGAATTGGAAATAGTAAATCCCAATGAGTTGTAAGAAATCCTATATTTTCTCTTTATTTTGAGTATTTAAATGTAATGTTTTGATGATTAGAAAGCTAACTTAAGTATCAAAGTGGATATAAATTTGTTTTGCAGGATACTCTGTTTTGATACTGGAAAAAAGAGGTAAACAGAGGAGAGAATGTTTGATGAAGACATTAGTATTTATGCTTCAACAATTGCTCTATTTATCGATCACCTTATCAATAATAGCCTTTAGGGGTCAAATTATCGATCACTGAAGCATAAGGAGAATGACAATTAGCAAATTATAGATAACATGTTCGATAATCCAAATTATTGAACACATGATTGATCATATGAGACAAAAGCTCCTAGATGGAGAAAAGCAGCCTAAAAGGTAAGCTTGATCGATCATCTGATCGAACATTGCTTTATCAATCAACTTATTGATCAACATGAGCTGGTAGGGTTTCTTATTGTAAAATTATCCATAATGTGTTCGATTAATGCTTTTTCGATAACATGATCCATAATTGTGCATTGTATTCTATTGTTCTTATTTTTCTTCAAATTACCATTAAGCTTATCTATCATCTACATTATCGATCAACTAACTAATAATTCTCTATTGTTTTTGTTCTCACTTATTCAGCATTAGCTTCATCCTCAACTACTCTTACAATTCCTCTTGCAATTATCTCTGTCTCACTTCTTCCACCAATCTCTCACCTTCCTCCTCTTCCCATTCCCTTCACTCTACCTACTTCATCCTTAGTCTTGACCCCATCAATTTCTAATGATAACAAAAAAGGGGAGAAGGATCCTCAGGATGTTGTAGATCTTGATTAGATTTTTTTTGTTACTAAAATATGTGTTGTTTAAACTATTTACTTTGTCATCATCAAAACCTTAAATCTAACACTAATAACCAAATTAACCAGAAAACTGAACTGAAATAATTCAATTAATTCAATTTGATTATTATATGCATTTCAATTTTGGTTCGGAGTTGAAAATAGATGTTGTTCAATTATTTGGTTTTTTTTTGTTTTGATTGAAGTTGAACTAAAAGATAAATTCTTACCCCTAAAAGAAATACCTGAAAAAAAATAGAAAAAGAGAAAGAAAAAATAGAAAAAGAAGAAAAGCAAAAGAAATAATTCAATAAGGCATTCTTGGAAAGCAAATTGTGTTTAAGTGTATATATGTTAGGAAATCATTCAAATGCATACATGATGCTTGTTGATAATTTATTTTCATTCTATGAGACATCTTTCTAACATTACAACTCTCAAAGTCCCCTTGATTCATTTATTTAAGTATGTATTGTGATAAAAAACTAGAATACTTACAAGCTTTTGGTAGGACCTAGGCTAAGTATGTTTTGAAATATTCCTTTTTGGTGAGTTGAGTTAAACACTTAATCATAAGTGCTCTCTTGTTTAATTATGCACTATTTTAATTGTCTTACATCTCTAGCTTATGGCTTGTGTTAACTTGGTAATGATAGTTGGTTAAGTTATTGCATATATACCTTGAGCATATCTTGGTTTTCCTTTGCATTTGGACTGTTTTAAGCTTTGGATAGTCTTTGCCCAAGAGTTTAAAGGTTTAACTATGGAGCAATAGATTGGACCAAATTGATATAGTATTTTTTTTCCCTTGCGTTTTAAGTGCACTTTGCTAGATTCTTGGGCATTATTGCATATCTTATAGCTTTTGGTTAATTTATAGTGATTGCTTAGTTTTAAAGCATAATTTGCATGTTTTGCATGTTCTTGTGATTGCTATTGGTTTAACTTGATTCTATGGACCTTTTGATGCTACACAATATTATTTTAATCTTGTAGGTACCTTGGAACATGAAGGGAGAAGTACAAGGACTCAAACTTCAGACAACAAAGGTTAAAGATTCAAGATGTCCTCTTTAGGTTCATTCTGGTGACAGAGCTTAAATGAGGAGACCTTTTCTAGAATGACATCACGATATCAACACTTCATCAATTCGGATATGGGGCAGCTAAAATAGACTACCCACTCAATAATTGACCCTCTTCAACCCAGAACACTAAGGTAGATATTTTAATCGAACCCTAGCCTCTCATACTTCACTTTCTTTGTTCCATTTTTCATTTTTTATCATCTCCCCTAATTTTCTCAAATTCCCTTCATCTCTTTAGCTTCATTTCATCATTCCCTCTTCTTCTACCGTCTCTTCTATAGCAAGAGGTGTGTCGCTACATCTAAGAGTCACCATTACAGCTATATGCTACTAAGGTTCATCATCTCTTGGGATGGTTAGTGCCTAAGCTCTTAGATTTTCATTAGGAGAGTTTCTAGTTCCATTTATGTTTTGTTCTTCATTGTATTTTCAGATTTATCTAGGTTTAGATGTATATGAATGTTAATGTTGAGATTGAGCTTGGACTCTATTTATGTTGAGCTAGTTAATGTGTAGTTGGATTTGGATTATTGTAGTTAAGTACCTTGTTATATTAATGCATATTTCAGTTGAGCGAAATTGCGTTGAATCTCTTAGCATCATGTTGTTTGATTCTATATTTGTGCCTTGCTTAGAGATGGCATTGATGCTTGTTTCATTAATTGAGGAAATTGAAAGTTGAGTGCATAGTATGATAGTGTTAGATGCATTCAATTAATCAGACCTTAATTAAAAGGAAAAGTGCATTAATCTAATCCAAAATGAAGAGAACCAAAGCTTGCTATCAAACCAAATCTCAAGAGATCCATTCCATTGCATTTCATTCATTTCATCCATCCAACCTATTTTTATACTAAAAAGACCAAAAATATTTTATTTACTTCGTACACACATGTTCATTTTACCCTTGTCAATTTTGCATTTTTATCACTTAGTTAACTTAGTATTCAAATAAAGGCTCCTTAAGTGAGATGACCCAAGGTTGTACTACTATAATGCAATTCTTAGTAAATTTGTGATCTTAAACCCTAAGGCGTGCTAGAATAGGGTTGGATCACTTCTTTTTCATGTTTAGTTTTAGTAGCCGTCACTTTTCCTCCTCCTCCTTTTTTGGAGCTACCATACTTGTTTTCTTTTTATGTCCATCAACCTAGGTATGATTTCTCTTAACACCCCTTTTTTTTGTTTTCAAAATTTTCAAAGATCAAATATATGTTTTTTATATTCTTTTCTCTTGGCTTTCAGTTTTCTCAACTAAATCTCTATCTAAACTTAAACTTGTTTATTCTACAGAATATCTTTTCAGCACAAACTAATAGTTTTTAAGACCAATTTTTTGTGCTAAAATTTTTGGTACTTTGTTTTTTGTGTGGAAATGGGAAGTGAAAAAATTGAAGATAATAGACTTCAACTTCTATAAGATTTTAGTAGTGCCTTCAAGCTAAGCATATTAATAAAACTTGTAGGTGTTAGTGTTGGTAGGAAGATAACACTACTCATGAATGTATTAGTTGGGAAAAATATATGATTACAAAGATTTAAAAGTTTTATTTTGTAGGTACTTGCAAAATACAACTTTCAAATAGAAGCTTAAATAATTGTATTCATTGTAATCTTTTCAACCAATAATAGTTTGTTGATTATAAAATTATTGTTTTTTTTTCCATGGTTTGTTTTTTGTAAATTAATATTTATCATATTCATATAATATAAATATTTTTTTAAAAAAATAGAAGACACCTTGATGTGAGAGTTATTGTAAAAGAATGGTTAAATGAATGTTCTTTTATATTAACAGTCACAAAATGTTATTTTTACATGACCGTTCTTTCACCATAATCGTCACGTAAATGACCTTTACGTGACCATTTGGTATCATCAAATATACCATCCAAATAATATGTAACGTGTTTATTGATGACGTTTGCCAATGGTCAAGTGGGACAAAAATAAAATGACATTTATTAACAATTCTATAGTAGTGTGGGGTAGAACCAAAGATACATACTTATACAATTTAGATTCACCTAAAAGATTAAGAACCAACTCTAACCTTGACATATGTAACATCCTATTTTTTAATCTCTAAAACCTCTAGTAAATATATGAGTAAATATTTATTAATAGCGATTTAACAAAGGTTAAATATATATAAGCAATTAAAATATTTATGATATATAATATGTGTGTATATGTATAACTATGTATATATGAACCAATGAATAAAATAAAAAGACTAAGAAGTCCCATATCGACTAAATGATGGAAAGATGGGGCTCTTTGAGCCTACAAATAGGTGGTAGTAGGGGAGAGCTAAGAATAAGTTAAATAAGTTCCACAAAAAATTGAGACAGTCTCATTAAAGTGCTCAATCTAACTATTGAAATTAATGTATTGAATGTCTTGAGTCTATTTTCCAAATTTTTTGCTCAATCTAACAGTATTAAATTTGTTTCTCTAAATTCTTTAAAAATACAACATAAGGTATAAATTAAGAGTTTTCTACTTGGGTTATGAATTACTTATAACTGATGATTCTAATGAGTCTAGTAATTTAAAGATAATATAACTTAAAGAAACTTAGGAATTGAATCTAAATTATGGTATCCCTATTTTTACTCCAAACAATAGAAAAATTTGTGAGTTAGAATTCTGAGTAACAATTCAAAAACCTTAGAGAGAGAATTATAGGTTAAAATTTAAAATATAGCTTACCTATTAGATATTGTAGTAACATATATTTTTCGTTTCTAGATCTGAAGTTTGGTTTGACGACCCCAAGTTTAGGGTCTTGATTTTTGACTCGTAAGCGCTGGTTGGGCACCAGGTAACGTAAATTCTTACTTGTTTCTCCTACTGGTTCCTCTATAAGGAGTTTTTAATTAAATTAAACCTCTAGGATAAAGTTCGAATAATATGGAATAGAAAAACTATTTTCAAATTATGAAAAACTTTCTAAAACTTTTGAATTTGCTTGGTGGGATCGCTTTGTGAAAGGGAATCAATTGCTATAACCTTAAGACTAGATAGAAGCCTGATGAATGATTTTTTGATGAAATTATAGAACTATGGCCTATTGTGTAGTCCGTGGCAGTAAAAGGTCATTTATTTACCGTGACGAAGTGTCCAAACTACTGTTTTATTTGACTGTGTTTTGTATGTTGACATGAGTTCCTGGAATATGTTTATATCTTGACTATCTAAGAATACTATTGTAGAGTATGATATTAAATATCTGACAGGGTTGAGATATGTTTTGAATCTCATATGAAACATGTTCTTGAGATACCTGATGAGAATTAGGAAATGCTATGGCTATGATTAATTGTTCAACACTTAGGGGAGATGTGGTGATGAAGATTAATAAACATATGTTTCCACATGGTTTGCCTCCATAGAGCGCAATGTGATTGGCCTATTGGAGAGGCCAATATCCCTTTATTTGTGATGCTCTAAGAGTATCTTAGGATAGTATTTCTTGAGGATAGCATCCCCCTTAGGATATTAGACAACAAACCCATTAGGGCAGAATCCCTTTTTTTTTAAGGAACACATAGCCCGTGTGTACTCTGTAGACTTTGGCCACTCCACATAACACGCGTGGGAAGCTCTAAAGAGTCAGTAATCACATGATTAGGACTTAGCACATGGGTTCAAGTTAGCAAGCATAAGAAGAATATAAGGCATTAATTGAATGATTAATAATAGTAATGAATGATGAGTGAAGTATGTACATATGTTGATTTTTTTGTGGCTTATTTGTTTGTCATATCCGGTATTTATTATGTGATAGTAACAAATTTAATTATTATTGTTAGTCCCACTTAGTGTCTCTTAAGGTAGGAGTTTTTATTACTGAGACAGTAGTCTCATTTCATTACATCTGCCATTTAGGTAAGAGCAGTAC